CTGTACCGGGAGTGAAAGGCTGCTCGGCTGCTGGGCAGGTGAAGGAAGCCAGGATGAGGAGGCAGAAGCAGACAAGCAGGTGTTAAGGGGATTGGGATGCAACTGGGAGCCTCACTGCTCATTCATTTCATCTGGGGCTTTGGGTTTTAAAACCATTCCAAACCAAACCAAACTCACTGCTGTCAAGTCATCCCAACTCCTAGCAAACCCGCCTTGGGTTTCCAAGGTGGTATCTATGTGGAAGTACATTGCCCAATCTTCCTTCTGAGGAGTGGCTGGTGGGTTCGAACCACTAGCCTTCTGGTTAGCAGTTAATGCCTTGGGCACTATGCCACCAGAACTCACATTATAAAGAGAGCTCCTTTCCCTTAAGAAGAGAAAACCTTATGGGACCTTGGACATACATGGAGTCAGATATTGCCCAAATGAACACCAAGCAATACATACCTGTATTGAAATGGAAAGGCTATTGATAATTTTGTTTAATGATAAAAAAAACAGTGCCTTATAGCCTTATTTTATTGCAAGAAAAGGCTAGAACATCCCATTACTAGGTATATACCCTAAAGAAGTGAGAGCCATAACAAGAACAGATATATGCACGCCGATGTTCATCGCAGCACTATTTACAATAGCCAAAACTTGGAAACAACCTAGATGTCCAACAACTGAGGAATGGATAACCAAACTTGGTACATTCACACAATGGAATACTATGCAACGCTAAAGAATAATGTAGAATCTGCAAAACACCGCATAACGTGGATGAACTTGGAGGACATTATGCTGAGCGAAATAAGTCAGTCACAAAAGGACAAATATTGTATTAGTCCGTTATTGTGAAAGTTAAGGAAAGGTTTATATATTGGAGGACATTTTCTTTGTTGGTTACCAGGGGTGGGAGGGAAAGGGAAGGAATGCTGTTAGATAGATAGAGATAAATATTGATTTGGGTGAAAAGAAGGGCAATGTACCAAATGTGAGTGACCAATATGGCAGCATTGAGGATGAGAAAGATAGAGAGAGTTACATGGGCAGTACAAACAACAAATATGAACCCCTTTGCAAATACAATACTGAGTTGTCAATGAAAGCAAACATGGGTATAGGGACGGATAGATGGGTGAACAAGCTAAACAATTATGTATGTCTAAATGGAGAGTGTATCCAAGATCATATACAGGGTTGGCAGACAATGGGCCTCTCAGGGTGCAGAAGAGTATGAAGGGATGGACACTGGGAGGAGGTAACTATGGGGAGGAAGTGGGAGGGGAGCTGCTGCATTGTAAATTTTGGTCAATGACATGAAACAAAGTATATGTGAACTGCTGTATGAAAAGTGAATTTACTCTGTAAATCTTCACCCAAATCCTAATTAAAAAAAAAAAGAAAAAGAAAAGGCTAGAAGTCTTTTCAGTGATTTAAAAGCTGCACAAGCAGCAAGTGAAGGGATGTGTTGAATTTCTTGGGAGTAGGGGTTGGTTCAATCTGTTCAAAGTGAGAGCAGATTTCCATAGTATTTAAGTGCAAGGTGAAGCACAGTGTGCCAATGTTAAGTGCTGTGAGTGATTTTCCAGAAATGTTTGGGGGAAAAAAACTGAGTGAGGGAGGTATTTGCCAGACCAAATATTTAATATAAACTAGACTGGCTTATTTTTTGGGAAAAGATCTCTAAAAGGACCTACATTTTCAAAGAGGAAAAAAAAATGCACCCGGGCAGAAGGCATTGGAGCCTAAGTGATCATTGTTGTTTCAGGGTATCACATCCAGGATTTCAATCTCAAGTCTTTGCTTGTGTTCCACTCTCTAAACCCAAGGGCACTTCACCGTATCTGCTCCCCATTATTTGGAAAGCAAATGCAAAGGCTTGGTTTACAATTGCATTGTTTTTAAGATTGGTTCTGGAACCATTGTGTCCCTGCTGTTGAACCCGATTGCTTGGCCAAGAAATTTCTATTCTCCTTGTATTTGAAAATGCCATCTTAGATGACCTTCACCCTAATGTGCCAGCCATATTTTTACCCCCACGCCCAATACCACATTACTACTTCAACCAATGTATCAGTGAAGTATATCCTACTTTCAGGACTACTGTTTAAGGCAGACCTTCTCACAAGCAGTCAGGGCTCCCCAAGTTGATGTTGATGAGCTTAAGGGAGTTCTGGAGGAATTATAATGTCCATTAGTTCATCAAGGTCTGGTGGAACCCACTAGCCACTCTGCAGGAGAAAGATGAGGCAGTCTGCTTCCCTAAAGATTTACAGCCTTGGAAACCTTATGGGAGCAGTTTTACTCTGTCCTCAAGGGTCACTATCAATTGGAATTGACTCAGTGGCAGTAGGTTTGGGTTTGGTTATCAAATATATTGCTGATTTTTGGGATGGAGTGAAGCAGTTCAATATGAAACGAATGTGGAATAAATTATGTCCCCAGTATGTGCATGCTTTTCAGGGATTTACAACTGACATCGCTGAAGCCAGGCAAGCCGTGGTTGGTACTGGTGATCAACTGCAGTTGGACTTGAGTGAAAATGATGTCATAGTTTCTCAACTTCCATGCTGAAGAACTAACCAATGAAGACCTAATAGAACTAGAATAGTAGTGGATAGCATTTGAGGAAGACTGGGACCTAAAATCTCCAGAACTGAAACAATTTTTTGATGAATTAGGGGAAGGAAGCCTCTTGTCTTATTGAAGCAGGAATGACAAAGTTAGAGAAGCAAGAGCCTACTACTAGAGAGAGGTTCATGCAACTACCATACAGTTACCAAGAGCCTCAACTACTACAAGGCCATTTATCATGGGAAAAAGAAAAGCTCTGTACAAACCTCCCTTGCTGCCTCCTTGGAAAAACTGACTGCAGTAGTAAATATCCACACACACACACACCCATCCCCATCCCCAGCAGCAGAATCAAACCCTGACTCTCCAGTACCACATCCATCCTCTCCAACAGGCCCATCATTTTCAATGGTAGCTGTCTCTGGAGAGCCATCATCTTCTGCATCATCCTATTATCATTATTATACTGTTACCTTCCAAGTGCCCTTTGAGTAGGTAAGACAATAGAAACGAGTGTTAATCTTTACTCATGATCTTTTTTCTATCAACAGTTTAATGTTTTCTTTTATAGTAATATATACCTACACACACACACACACACACATGCAGATTCTTCAGTACAGTACCAAATGTAGTTACTATTATTACTGTATCATATTTAAAATGTTGCAGTATGTTTTATTTTATATGTATAAAACAAATCTAACTCACTGTCATTGGGTCAATTCCAACTCATAGCAACCCTCACTGGTGTTCCAAGGCTGTAAATCTTTATGGAAGTAGACTGCTCAATCTTTCTTCTGCAGAGTAGCTGGTGGGTTTGAACTACCACCTTTGGGTCAGCAAATGCCTTAACCACACCACCACCAGACCTAGTAAAGCTAAATAAGAACCATTAAGTGTTCAAACTTACCTACAAATTTGACTTGACAGACTTGGGAACAGATCTCCTTCAAAACCTGGGGACTGCCTATATAATGCATGTTGTCTGCAAAAAAAATATGGTCAGACATAAAAGGACAAATATTGAATGTTCCCACTTCTATTAAATATCTACAACAGGCAAATCCATTAAGACAAAGAATATTATTGGTCACTGTGGGCTCCGGCAGGAGAAAATGGGGAGTATGAAAAACTCTTCCAGGTACTTAAAATTTAGTGAGAGATAATGAATTACACAGTCTAGTGGGAGGAGATAAAAGAAAACCATGTCCCAGTAATTAGTATTTGATGAAATTAAGTTCCAGAAAATATTTTTTTTTAACCTTTTATCTCAGACTGGGGAGAGGAAGAATATAGACTACTTGACAAAAATAATGTACTTCAAGTCTGATCCAGCCTTTACCTATGAAGTTTTCATGAAAGTAATGCTATAGTCCTTAGAAGGCAAGCACATTAGATTGCCTAGATGGGAATATAGAGAACAAAAAAACAATTCAACATTTCCTAAAATTAATGTCACATTAGTGTCTCTTCCTGACACTTTTAAAGTGTTAGAGTAAGTTCTTGACACCATTGAGAAAATTCAATCGTGTAATATACACTATCTTGTTATAGCAAAATTAACAAAATTTTCCAGTCTATATTGTCACAAATGATAACTGAATTTGTACTGTAAAGAAGTGACAGAACAGTAGACAAAGTCTAAAATACGGACCAAGCCTGATAAAATAAGCTGGGGGGTGGACAGGAGCTAATCATAAAAAGGCAATGATAAACTAATATTGCATCTTGCAGTAATGATTGCTTTTCTACACTTCGAGTCCCTGAATTTGTTTTACTAAGGCTGTTTTCCTTTTCCCAATGTTTATATAAAATGTTAAGAGATGAACACAATTTTCAAGTATTACATATTTGGCCTAGTTTTTACCAAACACTGAGCACCTAGGTTCAAGGGTAAAGCACTTGGCTGTGACAGGTGGGTGGTTTGAACCCACCAGCTGCTCCACAAGAGAAAGATGTGGCAGCCAGCTTCCATAAAAATTTAGTCTTGGAAATCCTGTGGGGCAGTTTTACTTTGTCATGTTGTTTGACTTTGTCATCTCTGTGAGCTGGAATTGACCTGATAGAAATGGATTTGTTTTGTTGTTGTTCATGAAGTGGCAGGCAATTACATAGATTCACCAGGGAACAAACTATCTGCCTTGACAAAGCTTACATTATAGTGGACATTAATTTTGGCATGTATCATTATTCTTTTGCTAAAAGGACTGAAAATTCTTGTCCTTTCTAAGTACTCTCTCCTGAGTTGTGTCGGATAAAGATCAAGGTTGTGACTGAAGCCTTTACTGCACCACTTACAAAGGTTCTCTGCTCTGAGGTCTTCTGACTACTGAGATGTTATCCTATGACTGAAATATTCACTTATATGAAAGAAATAATTTTCTTATGAGATCAGATGATTGAAAGAATTCACAGCACACTTGAGACTTTAAAAATCATTTTATCGAGCCTCTATCCTGTGTGGACACTCCAATGTCCTTACCACTTTTATATGATTTATCAGCAGCATGAATTCGGTGATGAATTGTAAGATTTGATCTCCAACTGAAGCTCTTACTACATATCTCACACTTGTAAGGTTTCTCCCCTGTGTGAACTCTCTGGTGAGACTGTAGTTGTGAAGACCGACTGAAGCCTTTACCACATAAATCACATTTGTATGGTTTCTCTCCAGTGTGGACACTCTGATGAAGTTGAAGACTCGAGGCTTGACTGAAGTACTTACCACATTCCCCACATTTGTACGGTTTCTCTCCTGTGTGGACCCTCTGATGCATGTCAAGATTCAAGCTCCATTTGAAGCCTTTCCCACACTCCTCACATTTGTATGGCTTTTCTCCAGTGTGGACTCTTTGATGGGCTTGAAGGTGAGAACTACGACCAAAGCTCTTCCCACACTCTTCACATCTGAATGGTTTTTCTCCACTGTGGACTCTCTGGTGGGCCAAAAGATTTGAGGCCTGCCTGAAGACCTTCCCACACTCTTCACAAGTGTAAGGTTTCTCTCCTGTGTGGATCCTACAATGAATTTTCAGATCTGCTCTACGACTGAAGCCCTTGCCACACTCATCACATTTGTACGGTTTCTCACCTGTATGGACCAGCTGGTGAATTTGAAGTCTTGAACTGTTATTGAAACCTTGCCCACACTTCTCACACTTAAAAGGTTTCTCTACATTGTGGGCTTTCTGATGGATCTGAAGATAAGAACTCTGACTGAAGCCCTTCCTACATACCTCACATTTATAGGGTTTTTCTCCTGTGTGAACTACCAGATGAACTTGGTAATGGGAGTTCCTCCTAAAACTCTTCCCACACTCCTCACATTTATATGGTTTTTCTCCAGTGTGGACTCTTTGATGGGCTTGAAGATTTGAACTCAGAGTGAAGCCTTTACCACACACATTACATATGTATGATTTCTCTCCTGTGTGAATTCCTTGATGGGCCTGAAGACTTGAAGGCCGACTGAAGCCTTTACCACATTCCTCACATTTATATGGTTTTTCTCCTGTGTGGACCCTCAGATGGATGTAAAGATTTGAGCTACAAATAAAGCCCTTCCCACACTCCTCACATCTGTACGGCTTCTCTCCTGTATGTACTCTGTGATGGGACTGAAGATGTGAATTCCGACTGAAGCTCTTACCACATGCATCACATTTGAATGGTTTCTCTCCAGTGTGGACTCTCTGATGGTCCTGAAGATGAGAGGCCTGATTGAAGGTCCTCCCACACTCCTCACAATTATAAGGTTTCTCTCCTGTGTGGACTTTGCCATGAACATTAAGTGCTGATTTACGACTGAAGCCCTTCCCACATTTCTCACATCTGTGTGGTTTCTCTACAGTATGGACTTTTTGTTTAGTTTGCAGACATGAGCTCCGACTGATGTCTTTATCACCATCATTACACTTATTACACCTCTCTCCTATGTGAATTTTCTGATGTCTATGAAGACCTGAGCTGTAACAAAAGCTTTTTCCACACTTGCTACATGTACGAGATTTCTCTAAGAGCAAGGACTGATGAAGATCAAAGCTGGAGATATCACTGAATGTTTCTTTACACTTGTTACACTGATGATAGGTTTTCTGTCCTGTGTGAGTTATACTTTTCTGATCAAATGTTGAAATATTCATTCTGTATTTTCCATAATCATTGTAGGTATAAGTTATTTCGCTTTTATTTACTCCAAGATCATGGTGATGTGAAATCCAAGTCATGCTGTCAACCCTCTGATTATACTGACACAGTTTGTTTTTTATGGGAATAGGCTGATATTTACTCTGATCATTTGGTGATTCAGTCAGGTAAGCTCTCTTCCAAGAATCCTGGCTTCTCAAAGTTGAAAACATTAGATTTTGCGTATCATTGGAGCCATCTCCTTTATGAATCAGTATATAATTCTCAACTTCAGAAACTGGAATAGGTAGTATTGCCCCAAACTGGCAGGGCAAATCATCTTGTTTGCAGAATCGAGAACTATTTACTATGGAGTCTTGACACCTGGCTAAGTCACTTGCACTTTCTTGCCAGATTTGCCAACAGGAAAGCTCTTCATGTGATCCTCCATCTTGAACCATTCCTGACTCCCTTTGATTCTTCTCTCCTGTAAAAATTAATAATTTTTATTTATTTTTGTGGACAAATCAAAGTTTTATTCAAAACTGTGGACAAATCAAAGTTTTATTCAGAGATTTCACACTTAGATGCACCAGAAGCCTTCAATGTGCTGGATGAATCCTAGGATGGTTAAGCTTATCTTTTTCCCACATATGAAGTTCTCTGGTTTACATATCAACAGAAAACAAGAGGTAGCCCACTAAACTCTCAATCACTAAACATTAATGAAACCTAGGTAGGAACACAATTATTCCATCTGACATACTATCTAAGTCAGATTTTTTTTTTCTTTCATGTACGTCTTTTCCAGCACAATGCAGTATCAATGAGAACAATAATTTTGTAGTGCTCACAGCTTAATCACTACAGTCCAGAACAGTGCCTAGTAGTTAGTAGGTGCTCAACAAATGCATGCATACATAAATCCCAGTTTGACTTTTGAAATTCTGTATGATGCCAAATCCCAGTTTATATTTAAGCCAAGTCATAAAAGCAAAAGAGCTTTTACAAGTTACCTGAAATAGGAAAAGGACTACAGACTATAGTTTTGTTGAGAAGTGGAAAGGCTGTACCCTTCAGAAGGATCTAGCAAGGGGGATTATGCTGATGGGAAAATGAAAGGTGGAAGAATTAAGTGGGGTAAAAGGAAAGCATGAAGACTTATGCACTGGTTCCTTCTGAGGGTTCTTTACTCTCTCTAACGTCTCATCACTTTTCTATGTCAGAGTCAACATTTAGAGGCTAGGGAAGAAAGCTGTCTTCCTTGACGGAACAGACTGTACAAGGAATAGTAAAGCAGGGCAACCAGTATAAAGGCTGGTGCAGTGTAGTAAATTACTTAGTGTGGCTTTTCTACTCATAAGTCTTTGTAAACTCCAAGGTGGGATTTGCTATGAGCAACTGAGGAGCTCCTGATGGCTAAAGTTGTCCATCTGGAGTATTTCTGTTGGGAGTGGCACAAA